GCGAAACGACAATAGTTATTACGACATTACTAATCAATTATTGTTACTTTTGTTTTTAATTTATAGTTTATTGAATATATTATTATGTCAAGTGGGGTAATTGTGAATAGGGGTAATTGTAAATGCTGTTTGTTATCAATCATTACGAGACTGTTACTATCAAAACGTTAATGGAATATGTTTAATTTGTCGTCTTTATTGATCAGCAACGTCTTTGACATTTTTAATTTGAGGTTATGTCCATAAAATGTTATTCGAAAAAAAACATGTTTTGAAAAGTGAATTTCAGTTTGATAAGATCGACAAAATTGAAAAAAAAACACTTAAAATGTAGTAATAGTATAATTTTCATTTTTACACTCAAAGATAATTAAGATAATTAATATTATAGGCAACTACTTTATTGCTATGTATGATCCACGTTTAAGCATATTTATGATATTTCCCAATTGCCCCATATTTGTTTAGTATGGGGTAAATGTGAATTTGATTTTGGGGTAATAATGAATACCGTAGGTACAAACTTAACACTACAAAATAACTGTTTTTTTTTTTAAAATAAAATAAAATTATTACTTTTAAGGGTCCGAAACTACAAGAAAAAAAAGTGTGGACCTTCATATACTTTGGATGACATCAACAATGCAGTTGAAGAAAAACTTAAAGGTCATAAAACGTACAAAGTTATATCTGAAGAATTTGGTGTTCCTCAATCAGTTATCTTTAATAGAATTAAAGGTAGATCTACCTCTATGCTGTGCACTAAATCTGGACGTCGTCCTGTCCTTGATTCCAACATTGAAAGTGTGTTGGTCAATTGTATTGTTACTCGGGCACAGATGGGGTACCCATGTGATAAGGAGGAACTTCAATGTCTAGTCCAAGAATATATAGTGGCAAATGGTATTCAAAATCCATTTAATAACAATAAGCCTGGTAACGATTGGTACTATAGTTTCATGAAAAGAAATCCAAAATTAAGTTTCAAGAAACCAGAACAACTGCAAAAATTGCGAAAAGATGCTAGAAAGCCTGAAATCATTTACCATTTTTATTCGAATTTGGAGAATATTTGTCAGGAAAAATTATTGATATCTCAGTTTGTGTTCAATGCCGATGAAAGTGGTTTTCGTACTGACCCATCTAGGCTAAAAGCATTAGGCGAAAAGGGAAAGGCTTTGAGCAGAGTAACTGGTGGTAGTGGTCGAGAATCGATAAGTGTTCTTGCGTGTATATCTGCTGATGGATTATATTTGCCACCACTCATCATTTTTAAAGGAATGGCAGTTCAAGCTCGTTGGACTTCTGAAAAATCTTTTCCAGGTTGGTGATTAAATACCGAAATTCATAAAATTTTAAAATAAATTCTTAAATAATAAATAAATGTTGTCATTTTAGGAACACTTTATGCAGTGTCAAAGAATGGCTGGATGGAGGAGCCGGTTTTTTACAATTGGTTCGAAAATGCATTTGTGCCATTTGTCATTAAAAAACGTAAAGATTTAGGAACAAATAGCAATGCTCTTTTGCTATATGATGGACATTGTTCTCATATTAGTATGAGAATAATTGAATTGGCAATGAAGAATAATATTACTTTATTTAAGTTTCCTAGTCACTTGACAGATCGATTGCAACCATTGGACAAGTGTGTATTTGGACCATTAAAATCGGTATGGGATAAAGAACTTATTCATTTTGGAAAAACTATGATTGGAAAGGGTCCAGGCAGATTAACAAAAGCAATGTTCTCAGAGATTCTTGGTAAAGCATGGTCAGTTGGTATGAAAAGTGAAAACATTATATCTGGATTCAGAACAACCGGTGTGTTTCCTGTAGATAAAAATAAATTTCCATTGTCTGAATTTGATCCAAATGAACTAAATTACTATTTAAGAATTGAAGCTGAGAAGCAGAATAAAATCTTACACTCTGCTATTGAACCTAGTTCATCAACCTCCCGAAATATTTTAATTGAGCCAAATGAACACATTGAATTAAGTGCATCAAATGACTCCATAACACAATGTGAATAAACTTTATCCAATGAAATAATTATTTCAGATAATATAGATTCCTCGCCTTTGATTCCCCACACACCTTCATCAGATGGTAACCATAACATTAATAACCTATTAAGTGATGAAACTACTTCTAGCCCAACTGATATAATAGGTATTTTTACTAAACACTTGGGACAACTGAAGGCAATGACTTCTTCACTACGTGAGTCAAAAGATCCCACCCCTAGATTAAAGACAGCAAGGTATGGTGAAGTGTTAACTAATGAGACTGTATTAATGCGTTTAAAAGAAGCAACTGAAAAACATTCAAAGAAAAAAACTCTAGGAGCAAAAAGAGGTAGACCCAGTTTAAAACAAAAACTTTTTGAAGATGAAGAAAAAACAAATACAGAAGTGTTGACAGACGATGAAACCACAATAGATCAGTAAGAAATAATTGGTGATGATTTTGAAGATGTAAACGATATTCCAACTGACTTAGGGATCAATGAAGTGCAGTATGAACAAGTTATATGGGAGTCCATCAAACCAGGGGTATATGTGTTGGTTGATTTTTTGGGAGGACCACGAAACAAGACCCATTTTAAGTATGTATGTGTAGTTCAGTCAGTCGATGATGAGGATAGAGAGATTGTTGTGATGGGTTTAAAAAAAACAGATGATTTTGGAACAGAGTTCATAGTAGATGATCAGGACATAACAACTATTTCTGCAGACATGGTACAAGCACTTTTACCAAGTCCAAAATTTATAATGAAAAAAAGAAAAATGATTTATAAGTTTCCAGGTTTTGCCTCAGTCAATGAGAAATAGATAATAGTTTAATTTAAAACGTATTGTAAATAGATACTACCACAAACTAAAGTATAGTATTAGGTATTTGTTTCATTGTTAAAAAAGATTTATTATTTATTTTATTTTATTTTTTGTTTTAAAAATACATCCTATTAGGTTGTAAGTATTTGTTAAAAAACTTTAAGGCTGTTTAATTTTTATTTTATTATTAAAGAAAATATGAGACTGTTTGTTATTTATGGTATATTCTAAAATTAATGTAACAATGTATGTAGTCCAACTACATATGTAACTATTACAATAAATATCAGTTAAAAATGTTGTTTACAATTGCCCCATATTAAATCAACGATTTAACATGGTTAGTTTATTTTATATTTACCATTACCCCATTTAGTTAAAACTAATAATTTCCACATAAAAAAAAGAAATATTAATTTAAAGTTGCTTGATTCATAATTGCCCCGAATCTGGTTGTACTGTTTTAAATGGATAACATTTGTTTCGTTTACATTTACCCCTAAATTAAGGGGTAAATGTAAATGCTTGGGGTAAAAGTATATATTACATTTCTAGAAGATAGTTACATTAAAACACTATCAACTTGCATAAACATGTTTGTGACAAGTTTTTCAAAGTAGCCAAGTAACAATTTATAAGTAATTAATAAAAATGAAAACAAAAAACAGTTTTCAAGCCAAACTAAAAAATATCATTTACAATTACCCCACTTGACCTACTATAATAAAAGACAATAAGACATTTAAGTACTCAGTAATACACCCATAAAGTCATATGTAGCCGATTAGTATTTGCTCGTCATTTTCAACTACTTCTGATTGAATAATCTAGTATCTACACTAATGCAGGAAATTTCATGTGTGCAACATAAAATCACCGTTATTTAATGAGTGTGTCCGAAGAAAAAAGCTCATATTTTTAATTCTGCCGTTAGACAACTATAACCATGAACCATCGATCCACGTATGTAGTTTATAGAACATGGTATCATTGTACATACATAATATACGGAAAAAATAATTAAACATAGTGAGATATGTCTTAGCAAATAACATTATACATACAAAGTAACAAAACCCATCTTTCAAAATCTCAGCTTATAGGTAATTGATGTTGAAATTCATTGAAATACCTTCATATTCCCGGGACATTATTATTTGTACGTAAGGGATTCGGCGAATATCGAACGTGTAGAGCCACCTAAATATTTCTCACTGACCACTGTGGCATTCTTACTCGGTGCTGAGGCTTGAAGACGAAAATCAATAATTGTACAGTAAAACTCGGGAAAACCAACGAAAACCTTAGCTATATCGAACCGACCATTTATGTTTAAATATCTTCGAAAACGATAACGTTAATTACGTTGCCGTTAAAGCATTTACAAATAAAACGTTGAGTCCTACCTATTTATTATTGGTTTCATGTTTTAAGCCTATAATATTACTCAGTAATTTAATATATTTGATGATGGAATCGTGATTAAGTAATTTAATTTACTATTAAGCAAATTAAGCTTACTATTACGATTAATATTTACTATAATTAATCTACTACAGTGGATTAAATTCATTTTTCCAAAACAAAATTGCATTTGAAAAGTCATTGTGAGTATAAATTATAATATTATATTCTCAAAGTTAGTTTCAAGTAGGTACCCACAAATAATATTTTTTAATTACAACATAATAACTTACATCATTATTCTTGGTTATTTAATAATATGTCATTTTGTCCAAATTTGAACATAAAATAACTATAAAAAAAAATTGTTTTTGTATATTTTTTTAGATTTGTAGGTTGCAGAATGAACTACTCGTGTGCAACATTGTTTTAAATTATTGACCATTAGCTAGAAAAGTTGTACATCTTATCAATATTCAACTAAAAATAATTTGTACATTTTGTCATCATTTGAACTTTAAATGCTCATAAAACAAAATCATGGCTACCCATTCATTTTTAATATTTTTCAACTGATATTTTAACAATGTAACAATATAAAGAGCCTCGTATTAAATTTTCGAGCTTTCTTAAAATATATACCAAACAGGTTTGTATTTACTAAGCAAATCTGATCTATCTATCTTTAGATAGATCAGAAAGATAAAAGATTAAAAATAATTTAAATCACCAAATTTACAATAATAATACTTAACCATGGATAATTCAGAAAATGAAGAAAGTACAAATAAAAGTCTGCTTTAAAACCTGTTAAGAAACTTTTAGCAAGATGCTCAATTTTTTTAACAAATAGTTTTGTAAACATTTTAACTTTAAACTTACAAACAATTTTTGACTATATTTTTTATGTTTTTAAGAGATATATTAAGGACAAATTATTAGGAACCTTGTATTAAATTTTAATAAATATGGTTGTTTTTTTTTCGTCTGAAAAGTACAACTAAATTTATTGCTTCTGCAATGATTTACTATTCTAAAACAAAGTATAGCCAAGTAGGCATGCATTTGCAAATTAAAATTGGTTCTTTATAGTTTTGGAGTCAATAACATCAACATCAATAATTGTATTCAAAACGATTAATGTGGTGTTTTATCAATGACTATGGTATTTTTGTTCTAACACATTGTAAGAAGACCTGAATACAAGGAAACATTTTTATGCACAAACATTCCACAGATCAAAATATGTCAAAACTACATAAGGAATACATGGATGATCGACCAAAATATATAAAGATAAACAATGTAAAGAAAATAATAATAAGATTGGAGGCTAGTGTGATAAATTACAGCGCCCTTTATAAAAACTACGATTGTTCTGAACGTGCATATTGTGTATTTTTTTGTGAATTGTTGAATGCAAATGTTCTAAAATAGTTATACATTTTATAAATTAATTTGATATAAAAGTAATTGTTTAATAATCATATGTCTTATATAGTTATATATATGTATACGGTTATATTGTTTAGGATACTAGGATAATAATTACATATAAGTGTTATCATTTATTTTAAAACTTATGTAGAGTAACAATCAATCAATGGCTTTAAGTTGCGTTGAAATACTCCTTTCAAAAGTAGAAATGTCATTTTTGACAAATAAATTTGGTCTTTAAATATTTACAGAATTGTTGTACAATATAAAATTATATAACAAAGCCCCCAAGATGAAGCCACAATACACAAATAATAGCCCCGTATAGTATAACATTTCTGAATTCACAAGATATGTGTCATGTTTTTTTTTTTTAAATTACGCTTTTTATTTTAAAGTAAATTTTCAAAAACACTAACAATCATGGATTTTGTTAAATTTTGATTTTATAATCCAAATTAAGTTGAATGTGATGATTGGCAGAACAGTTAATAATATGATTTTTATTGGAGAACATATTTTTTTATTTTGGTACAAAGTTTTTACATCCCTTTTGTTGAGATTATATTTTATGGTGGATAAGGGATAGAAGTTTGGGGCAATATATAGAAGGTGCCTAACAGATTAAGTTATGCGAAACTCTAGTGATCAAAAATGATCGCCTACCTATTTTTAAGTGGAGACAAATTAAGGAATAGTGTTAAGGACATTTTGTGTCTGAGAATGTAAAATGAAAATGAGATCAAGCATGAAAATTATTTTGTACTGATTTGATGGCTGACTTTGTCCTATTAAGAATACTGCTCTTGATAC